TTTATTTATGAAAGTTCAATTTTTATTAAAATTTTTTTCACCCCCCGAATACAATTTAAATCAATTCAAATAGTAACTATTCCCGATCAATACGTACACAAACGCACAGCGTTCGCACTGCGTCCCCCTTTTCTATCCCCAACCCCTGGAATACGCGCCACCGCCACGCCACTGACCCCCTCGGCCCGCGTGTGTATTGACGCACTCGTAGTTCGGTTATTTCCTATGCACATACAACATTTTTTTGGCCACCCCGTCCCGGACGTTGGTGGAGGGTGGGACAGCGGTGACGCTGGGGCTTGGCAGGGGGAGGGTGGCAAAGCGAACCCCCCCAGTGCATTAGTATGCATTATATTCGGCCATTATATATTTATTTCCAGTGGCAGCGAGCGCGTTTCTACTCGTTTCGCCCAACGACAGGATCCCGGATAAATTTATGTTTATTTTCGACGTTATACACCGTTAATGCTGCTAAAATTATTAATGTTTTTCATTAATGCAATTACAAAAATTCGCGCAAGTCCTCTTTAAAACGTATATATCGTTATAATATATAAATAAATATATACAGTGTGTTAATTAATTATCGTACCCGACGTCATCATTGTAAGTATGCAACCAATATCACAGTATTTTTATTGCACTACGCGATTTGCGTATGATGCGTATTGCACTGTGTTATTGGTTGCATACTTGCAATGATGACGTCGAGTACGATAAATAATTAACACACTGTATATTATTATTATTATTGGAAAAAAGAAGAAAAAGAGCGCTTCGACGTGATAGGCACTCTACCAACATAAAGAGAAAACAACGATTTCATCTAATATTCACTTTTTGGCATTTTTCTCGAATTTTATGCATTTTAGAGCAAAAGTCTAAAAGAGCAATATTGTCAAGAATATAATTTGCTATAACTTTTATATTAAAACTTTTTTTCTAAAACGTTCCATATCCCGCACTCTACCAACATAAAGAGAAAACAACGATTTCATCTAATTTTCACTTTTTGGCATTTTTCTCGATTTTTATGCATTTTACAGCAAAAGTCTAAAAGAGCAATATTGTTAAGAATATAATTTGCCACAACTTTTATATTAAAACTTTTTTTCTAAAACGTTCCA